TGTTAAATTTCTAATCGATTGTTCGTCAGGAGAAAACACTCTTAATTATTCAGAGACTCACCGGAGATACGCCGACGTCCCCTCATGGTCCCACGGCTCATCTCTTGGAAGTAGGCACAACTGATTTTAATTTAAATTTTAATTATTACAAAAACGGTCTACTGCGACCTGTCATTAAACGACGTCAAAATGAGAATGAATTAAATTACCGACGGGGACACCGAAGCAGACGCGCATCTCTGCTTCGTGGTGAGTCTCACGCGCACTTGATGCAAAGATTTTCGGTAGGTAATCGATGCGCGACAGTAAGTAATTCAGGTCATTTATCGACCGTCGAAAAAGAGTTCATGAAAGTTCGTTTAGTCTCCGCGAGGGGCACTGCGCGACGACGTCCGGTTCGTAAGATGGCTGCAGCCAGTGTTTTGACAGCTGATGTCCTCGTCGATGGACTTTCGCCTTTTTGTCACTTTGTATGACCCGTAATGATAACAAGTAAACACATTACTTGTTGTAATACGAAGCAATCTCTCGGCAGTTATTCCGAAGATTGAAAATCCGGATCTCGCGATGACAGTTGACATGAAAATGAAAAACCGAGTATCACCCTCTTATGTTTACAGAAATTGTGTTGACCAGCGATCTGACGGTTCGCATAATTTCAGGTTTGTATAACAATATTTTAAGAGAAACTAAATTTTACAGTAGTGGAAAAATTTAAAGTAAGTTTTCTCAGAAGAAGAAAATGATTGTTGATTCTCAGTTTGACGTAAATCAATAAAATTTAAAGTCTATTATTTAAGGAATATTAATTTGTACGCGGCAAATAAAATGCCGCGTTACAATATATATATATATATATATTAACATTTCTTTTAAACATTGCTACGATGTTGCTTTTCGCTAAATAGCTTCGCAACATTGACGCAAGGTTTATTGTTTTGTCCTGGAGGAACATTTGAATACAATGTATGAATGTTCCTTTCTTAAATGCTGTATAGCTTCGAATCTCGAACATCCGATGCTGACAAAGCCGGCCTTATCAAGGTATCGGGTATCTCGCAGCAAGGTCTCACTGCGATGCAGTGAGTCATGATGGCAGAAGTTATAATATTTATTAGGCTGTGCCAAATTTAAATTTAAAAAAGTTTTATATTATTTTTTTTCTTTGTATACAACAATCAATTCTATTGCAAACAGGTTTTAAAAATAATTTGAAAATTGATGTATGGGTCGTTCCAGATGGAGCCAAAACGCAACGAAGACGCGACGGGTCCCAATGTTAATCAACTGGGGACGCGTCGCGTCTGCATCAAATCTATTCTGGAACCAACCTAAAACAGTAAAGGGTTTTCTCCAAAAGGTTCCCTATTGGAGAAAGACCATAAAGTCACGACTTATTATTAAACGCAGAGCATGTTTTTTCCACAATTAAGGTGCTAAAACATTAAAGAAAACAAAGGTAAGTAACATTTTTTCTTAAATTTTTTGTTCACTAATATTTATTACTATTTGTTTAAATTATCACATAATAGGTCTGTTTCCATTGAAGAATATGCAAGAAAAATAGTGAAAAATGTGTCATGTTACATTTTTACAGTTGTGAAAATTTTTGTATTAAGTTGCATCTGTAGAAGAAAAATTTACCTACAAATGTCAAAATCGCATTCAGAATGGAGTTCAAAATAAAGTAAAGCAAAGCAGAATTTTATTAGTGCAAGAGAGAGAAAAAGAGAGAGTCAGATACCACTGTTTTGTTCCGTATCGAAAGCAAAAAATCATAAGTGCAAGAGAGATAGTGCTATCTGACTATCTCTCTTGCACTTATGAAATTATGCTTTCGGTTTTAAGCTGCGGTTATACCTCTGTATGCAGGAACGATAAGAGTAAGAGAGAAAGTGCATAAAATTTGAATTCACGTATGTAGACTCTTAAGGTACGGTCTCACCTCGGCTGCCTTCCTGCAGGTTGTCATGATAACACATAAGAGTAAGAGAGTCAGACAATTTAAATTGTATGTTTTCTCTCCCTCACTCTAGTTGCGGATGCCTGCGCAGGCAAGCAGCCGAGTTGTAGCCGTGCCATTATTTTTGTATGTTACCATCACAATCTGCAGAGGTGCAAACGCACCTTTACTCTCTGTACGCGAAATACGAATTTTCGTATGGGAAATGAACATAGCTTTACTAGTTGAAGTAAATGTAAACGAACTGGAGAAATTATTAACTATAATAATCTTCGAATTCATTCAGTCTGTCCAGAGCGTGTACATTCCGTCCGCAGTGAGAGAGAAAGATTGATAGAGAGAAAGAGAGGGAAGTATCGCCTGCCCTTTTAGTTTAGAGTAGGAGCGAAGGAGAGGTGAATAATTAAGAAAGTAACGCCTACTTTTCTGTTTAGAAAGAGGTATCATGTTTTCTCCCTTTTCTGTGTCAGATAGAAAGAGTGCAACAAGAATTGGTAGGGGAAGGAAAAGTGGGGAATTTCACTTTGAAGCGAAAATACTAAAAGGGGGTCTTAATTGTTTATTAGCTGATTATTTTTCTCTTCTCATCTCAGACAGAAGGAGTGAATGAGAGGAAGATAGAGAACGAGGTATGAAAAGTAACGGAAGTACGAGTAAGGGTTTCAATTTCAAAGAGTATCTTTATTAAAAAATCTTTAAAATTTTCTACTTTACAGTTGAATTTGATTTTCTATTAATAATAATTGTGAAAATTTGAACTCAGTGAAATATTTTGTTAGAGTAAATAAATTTATTTTGGTTAATGTTTTGGGATAATTTTTGATTTAATTTTTTTCAATTATATTAGTTAAGATATTATTGCACTTTTTATATATTTATTTGTACTTATGTGCTCATGATTTACATGAGTTTTTTGCTTTATTAGATGTGCTTTATTATATGACTTATGCGAAATCATGTGACTTATGCGAAATTATGCGACTTATTATGCGTATTATTATATGATTTATATGGGAAGAAAATGCGATTTATGTGACTTGTATTATTTATGCAAACTATGTGTTTTATGAGATTTTTGAGAAATTTGATGACTATTTATTATTAATTAATTAAATATATAATAAATAGAAAAAATAAAATAAATTTAAATGTAAAGAAATGTTCATATAAAAAATAAAATAAACTATAAAAAATTATTTATATTTATTCATTATTTTAATTTATTTAGTTATAAGATAGAAGCTTTAAGTTTAAGTCTGTTTTCAAAAAATAAGTTTTTGAAAAATATTAAATTATTAGTTCATTTTGTTAAAAAATCATGTCTAACAGAGAAGAAAAAGTTTATTTAAGTGATAAAGATAATAGAATTCTACATACTGAAGGAAAAATGTTAAATGACAATCATATTACTGAATTTGAAAAGTTGTTGAGAAGAGAATCAAATTTATCATTTAACATGCAAAGTACTTTATATTTAATTACGCCTGAATTCATTATTCCGATTGATAAAAATCAGAAGCACATTCAAATACTTTTTAGTGGTGCTTGCAAATCTGGTCACTGGATTTGTACTTATTATGATGGATTAAGGCTATATATTTATAATAGTCTTAATAAGGAATGCCTAAATGAAGATCAAAAAAAATATTTACTTAGATTATATCCTTTCAAACCGCCGGTAGTTTTTTCAACTGTTAATCTACAACCGAATGGAATTGACTGTGGCATATACGCAATAGCGTTTGCAACATCTTTATATTACAATGAATTGCCAAATACTGTTAATTATATTCATAGTGAAATGAGACGACATCTAATTTTTATGTTTGAAAATAATCGTTTAATTTCATTTCCTTCCGTGGAATTGACAAACGTTATTAGACCTTTTTTTGTTGAGTATGATTGGAAACGTCTTTTAACGGATGGAGCTACAAAACTCATAGAAATACCAAACTCGTCTTCCATTTGTGAAACTAGTATCAGTATTAGTAATAATAATGTGAATAGCGGTATATCTACAGAATATTCAGAGGAGAAGCTTAATGGAAACGAAAACTATGAGAAAAAGAGACATCGCGCAATAAAAGATAATGAGAGGAAAAGGAAGGTAAAGCTCGAAGAAACAGATGAACAGAAATTAATCAGACTAGAAAATGATAGACTAAGAAAACGTAATTGCCAAAAGGCTAGAAATATAGATGAAAAGAAAGTAATGACGCAAAACAATTTAAATAGTAAAAAAATTAAATTATCTCTAAAAATAGAAAATGAAACCAAAGGTCAACAAAATTTAAGTAATAAGGATTGTAAAATTTTAAATAATGAAGGAAAAAAGTTAAATGACAATCATATTACTGAATTTGAAAAATTGTTGAGAAGAGAATCTAAATTAGCTTCCGACAATAATGTTAATAGAGGTATATCTTCAGAATATTCAGAGGAGAAGCTTAATGAAAATGAAAAAAATGAGAAAAAGAGATTTTATGCAATAACAGACAAGGAGAGAAAAAGGAAGGCAAGGCTTGAAGAAACAGATGAACAGAAAAAAATCAGACTAGAGAATGATAGATTGAGAAAACGTAATTACAGAAAATTGTTAAATGTAGATGAAAAGAATGTAATGAAGCAAAAGAATTTAAATTATAAAAGAAAACAATTATCTTTAGAAACGGACGATGACAAAAAAAATCGACAAAAAAATAATTTAACATGTAAAATGAATAAAAAAAATGGAAAAATGATGGAAACTTTAGGAGTTGGAATTATGTTGTCTGAAGAGTTTGATGAACATAAAGTTACACAAAATTATTTAGGTGTAATGAATGTCAAATGTATGTTTTGTGACGCGTTACATTTTTTGTGTGAAAGGCCACAGGATAAAAAATTTAGTAGTTGTTGTCATAAAGGAAAAGTAAAGTTGTATGATTTAAAACCTTATCCTTTGTATTTGAAAAATTTATTATTTGATAATAACTTTAAAAGTAAGAATTATAAGGAAAATATTCGATCTTATAATAGTTCGTGTGCATTTGCTAGCATGGGAGCTAAATTAGACGTTCCAAAGGGATATGGTCCTTATGTATTTCGTATACATGGACAAGTGTATCATGATACATGCTCTCTTCATCCTGATGATGGAGATAATCGAAAATATGGTCAATTGTATATTCTTGATACTGATGAAGCGGTGATGGAACGATTGAATAATGAATGTAATAAAAAATGTTTACAATTACTAATGACTGAAATAGATATTTTACTTAGAGATATTAATATTTATGCAAAGTCATTTAAAATGATGAAAGAATTGGAATTGGAAGAAGAAGCAAGGGCAAAATTAATGAATGAGTGTCCGAGAAGCATTCAAATGTGGTTTAAACGTGATCCAAAATTTTCTCAAAGCAAATATAATGTTCCGTCTTGCAATGAAGTAGCAGTTATATTTGTTAGCGAAGATGGTGAGCCTCCAATTGAACGTGATATATGTATACATCCAAGGGGTTCTAAAAGTATTCCAATTAGTAGTCTTAGCACACATGCCGATCCCATGACATATCCTTTAATGTTTCCGTCAGGTGATCCAGGATGGACTGTAAATATGAAACATACTGATGGTGTTCGTAATATTACTCCTTTACAATTTTATATGTATCGCTTGTCTTATAGAGGAACATTTAATCCATGTTTACAAATGGGTAAATTAACTCAACAATTTATTGTTGATAGTTGGTCAAAAGTAGAAGGTGAGCGTTTAAAATATATTCGTTTTGAACAGAAAAAACTTCGAGCTGAAATGTACTGTGGATTAATGGATTATATGAATAATAAAGCAACACAAGAAAATATTCGACCAGGGAAAATGATTATTTTACCTTCTACATTTACTGGAGGACCACGCGCTTATCAACAATGTTTTATGGACGCTATGCGATTAGTTCAAGAATTTGGAAAACCAGATTTATTTATTACAATGACATGTAATCCAAAATGGCCTGAGATTATGGAAAATTTATTGGATTCGGAAACTGCATCTGACCGACCAGATATTGTTGCCCGAGTTTTTCAAAAGAAAGTAAAAGAATTAATGTGTGAATTAAAAGATAAACAAATTTTTGGTCCAGTCATTGCTTATGTATATGTAATAGAATTTCAAAAGCGTGGATTGCCTCATGTACATTCAATAATTTTTTTAGATAAAAAGTTTGCTATTCGTGATGCAGAAACTGTAGATAAAATAATATGTGCAGAAATTCCTGATGAGAAAAAGAATCCAGAACTTTATAAAATTGTGAAGCAGTTTCAAGTTCATGGACCTTGTGGAAAGCAAAATGTACATTCTCCTTGTATGAATCCTGAAACAAAATTATGCACGAAAAATTATCCTAAACCATTTTCTCCAAAAACAAATTATGAATCAAAAAATTATCCGGAGTATAGACGGAGAAATGATGGCAAAAAAATTATTTTTTATAATAGAGACGGGTCAATTAAATGCACTGCTGACAATTCGATGATTGTATCATATAATCCGTATTTAAGTAAAAAATTTGCATGTCATATTAACTTAGTAGCATGTGGTAGTACAGGTGGTATTAAATATTTATTTAAATATTGTTATAAGGGACATGATTATGCAATAGTTGGTTATAAAGATGATAATCAAGTAATGCATTATGATGAAATTCAAAATTATTTAAATACACGGTATGTGTGTCCACCAGAAGCAATGCATAGACTTTATGAATTCAATATGCACGAGCAATCACATGCAACATATAGATTAGCTGTACATTTGCCTAATCAACAATCAATATGTTTTCAAGAAGGAATGGAACAAACTGCAATTGAGAAATTTAAAAATACAATGTTGACAGCATGGTTTCAGTTAAATAGACAAGATCCTGAAGCACGCAAATATTTGTACTCTGAAATACCACATAAGTATGTTTTTGTTGAGTCATCTAAAACTTGGAAAAAACGAGAACGAATTACAAAACCTATAATTTGCCGAATGTATTTTGTAAGTCCAAAAGACATTGAAAGATATTTTTTGAGAATTTTACTACTTTATGTACGTGGTGCTAAATCGTTTGAAGATGTGAGAACATATGAAGGTATTATATATAATACTTATACAGAAGCAGCACGTGCAAGAAATTTGATGGTAGACGATAACGAGTGGGATAATTGTTTGACTGAAGCCGTGAGTATGAAATTTCCTAAAGAACTATGTCGTTTATTTGCATATATATGTGTGTTTGGTTTACCTGTGAATGCTGTTGATTTATGGAATAAGTTTAAAGAACACATGATTTTTGATAATAATTTACCTGTGGAAATATCGCTTCAAAAATCATTACTTTTAATTAATGAAGTATTTAATTTTCATGGATTTACATTACATCAATTTGGTTTACCAAACATCGATCTAAAAATTCTTGAAGATTATAGTTCTGTTGATAAGAAAGGTAATGCGTTAACATTACAATTGCTAAAAGAAGAAGCTAATAATCTTATTGAAAGTTTGAATGATGAACAACGGCAAGTTTTTAATGATGTTATGATGGCCGTACATAATGATGAATATGATAGTAGATATTTTTTTCTTGATGGGCCTGGAGGAAGTGGTAAAAGCTATTTACACAATACTATTATTACTACAGTCGAAAGTGAGGAAATAGTAGTTTTATCAGTTGCTTGGACTGGTATAGCGGCTAATCTTCTAAAAGGAGGACGAACGTCACATTCTATGTTTAAATTCCCTATACCAATCAATGAAGATTCAACATGTAATATAAGTGGAATGTCGAAACATGCTGAACTTTTAAGGAGTGCAAAAATTATTATTTGGGATGAAATTTCAATGGCCCCAAAATATGCTTTACAAGCAATGGAATCCATGTTAAGAGATATTACAAAATGTAATAAACCGTTTGGAGGTAAAGTTATTTTGCTTTCAGGTGATTTTAGGCAAACTTTGCCAATTGTTCCGCATGGTAGTCGCACTCATATTGTTGAGGTTTGTGTAAAAAATAGTAAATTGTGGAAATTTCTGCTTTTCTGCATTTCTGCTTTTATAAAATTCTTTTTATTAAAATATTTGAAAATAATATTTTTTATAATTTTTATTTTTTCAAATAACAATGTATTTCTTATCGAATTAAATTAAAAATACTTGGATCAAAGCAATTTTTAAAGTTCTACAAGTTATTTATATGAGAATTTAAAATTTACTTCAACTTTTTTTAGAATTTAAAAAATAAGATTTTCTTTAATATTTTTGGTTGTTAAAATACCAATAATTTCGTAATTTCTAATCTAATTAGATTTAAAAATAGTCCAATCGAAGCGATTTTTAGTGCTTTTTGTAAGGGTCATAAAAACATTAACAAATAGAGATTGAAAAATTTTACTATAATAATACTTTCTCATGACGAAGCAAAATTATTAAACTTTGAAAATTAAATTTTTTTTATTTATTTACGTGATCGTTTTAAGAAATACTGACCCATAATCTTTATTTCAAAATGCCTAAATCACAAAACGAAGTATTAGACGCGCGCTTTAGCGCGCGTTAGATTGCTAGTCGTGATAATACAGTTTGAAAAAATGTCAGAAAAACAGAAAAGAAGAAGAAACAAAAAAATGTTAGATTTAAATAAAGGTGAAGATGTATGTATGACTCTAAGGAACAGATAAAGATTATTTTTAAATTTCATTTATTTGAATATTAATGTTACTTAATTTAAAAAAAAAATTTCGTTAAAGATTAACTATAATAATCTTCGTATTCTTTCATTCAGTCTGTCCAGAGCGTGTACATTCTGTCCGCAGTGAGAGAGAAAGGTTGATAGAGAGAAAGAGAGGTAAGTATCGCCTGTCCTTTTAGTTTAGAGTAGGAGCGAAAGAGAGGCGAATATTATTATTATATCTATATATATTAAGTTAGTCTTTCCTTATATACTCTGTTTACAGTGAGAGAGAAAGAGAGGGAGGGAGGTATTGTCTCTCCTTTTAGTTTAGAGTGGGAGCGAAAGAGAGACGAATAGTTAAGAAAGTAATTCCCACTTTTTGGGTTTAGAAGGGGGTACCATGTTTTCTCTATTTTCCGTGTCAGGTAGAAAGAGAGGAACAGAATTTGATAGGGGAAGGAAAAGTGGGGAATTTTACTTTCAAGCCAAAATACGAAATGGGCGTCTTATTTCCTTATTGGCTAATTATTTTTCTTTTTTCACTCACAGATAAATTAAGGAGTAAAAGAAAGGCAGATCGAGAACGAGGTATGAGTGAGAGGTATAAATTTTATCGTTGTTCCATAAACCAAATGGACAATTTTTCATCAATTTTTGACTCTCACCCCGCCACCAGTTGTGAACAATCGCAAATGTTTTAAAAAACTAATTCGTATAATTATTTAAGATTCAATTATCTTCGAACAATGGGTAAGGCTTTCTGAAATGTACCGATGGTTTTTTAAGCCTGTTACGCGCTGTAAAAAAGACATGGAGCGTGCAGTTTCACGGGCGGTTGCACTGCCGCGTTACATGCGTTGAATTGGTTTCAATTTGTTAGTTAATGCTTTATTTATTAAGCATTTGACACATAATTTCGAAAATTTTAATTAAAATTAAATTCAAAATGGCGGATTTTTTATAGTGTCAAGAATACTCTCCTAAAATAATATTGCAAAATTCGAAGTAAAACAAAAATTATACATCCTTATTCTTCGCCATGTCAAAAGATGTTTTTGTATGCGGATAAGCAATCGTATGATTAAAATGTTTTCTCATTTGCATTTTTTAAAAAAGACAAACAAAAATGTATTTGGTGTTGATGATCAAAAATTAGATATCAAATTTTCAAAATTGAAAATGGGGGATCCAACATGGCGGAAAAGAAAATTTTTTTATTTCACAGGTTTACAAATTAAAAACTTTTTTTTGCCAATCGAACAAAACAATTTTTTTTCAAATAGTAGGTGTTTTTTAAGTAAGAAAATCATAGTTTTAATTTTTTTCCCTCGTGCAGTTTTTCTGTAGCTTCAAATTTTGCATTTTCGAGGTGCGACGCCACTTAAACTTACCTGTAGGAAAATTACCTTGTCAAAATATAATAAATGAGGTATCATTGGAAAGGTTATTAAATTACCTTTCGATCCATAGGTCACAGAATAAAGTTCAACAAAAAACGAGAGAGTTACAGTCGATTAAAGATGAAATTTCATGACAATTTTGATGATTTTTAGACATTTGAGTAACTTCTACTATTTTTTTCTACATCAAACAGGAAAGAATGTTTAGGTTTTAATTTTTTTATTGATAGACTATATCATTACACAAATTTTGAGCCCTTGTGGACTTCGATTGGATTAAAAATGACAATTCTACACTAAATTTAGTGAACGAAACTACATTCTTCATTTTTAGTATCCCTTAAACATTTGCAGCAAAAATTGAAGTAACAAAATTTAGTTAAGCTCTAAAGTTAGTAAAATCACTAATAAAGGATTTCTGAAATCGTAGATTTCGAATCCAATGTTAGTTTTTTAAATTTCAAAATGGCGGATCCAATATGGCGTCACGTTTTTAAAAATCGATTAAATTTGTCTTAAATTCGTTACTCGGGGGTTTTCGGGGTCGCTGATTACGAATCTGATGTCAGATTTTAAAAATTAAAAATGGCGGATCCAATAGGTGCAAATTCGATGGATTTTAAAAAACTCGTTCACCATTATGAATCCATCCTTTTCAATTTTTAAAATCTGACATCAGATTCGTAATCAGCGACCCCGAAAACCCTCGAGTAACGAATTTAAGACGAATTTAATCGATTTTTAAAAACGTGACGCCATATTGGATCCGCCATTTTGAAATTTAGAAAACTAACATTGGATTCGAAATCTACGATTTCAGAAATCCTTTATTAGTCATTTTAGTAACTTTAGCACTTAACCAAATTTTATTACTTCAATTTTTGCTGCAAATGTTTAATTTTCAAAGAATTATGTCATATTCGTAATCAGCGACCCCAAAACCCCCCGTAACGATTTTATTTATTTATTTATTTATTTAGTAAATGTATACGGGCTTACAAAAAAATGCCCTTTAGTACAAATAGTACTTAGAATTAAATATAAGTATATAAAAAAAGAGAATGTCTAATGAGACAATAAAGATAACAATAAGTGTAAGTTTTGAACTAGGTAGCTAATTGTTTACAATTCCTTAACCAACAAACGCAAAGCAGAAATGAAAGGAAATAATGATAAGTTAAAGAAATCTAAGTCAGTACAAAAAGTATTAGCTTCACTGCAAATTCTATGGTAAATTGAATTTTCACCATAGTTTGTTCTATGAAAATTGAGTTTAAACAAATTAGTATTTCTAGATGATCTTGAAGGTGCTGAAAAATTTATGTTCGCAAGAATCTCAGGACAGTCCACATAACCATTAAGTACTCGATACAAAAAAATTAAATCCGAATACAGAAAAGTAGATGAGATTTTTGGTATATTAAACAATTGCCTCAGGTCAGAATAGTCATGATTTGTTATGTCTCTAGTTATTTTTAATTGTTTCGCGAGGAAGCGAAGAAATTTGTTTTGTACACGTTCAAGACGAAGCAGATCATCCTCCTGATAAGGCCACCATAAGATTGAATTACATATTAAGTTAGAACGTACAAGAGAATAATACAAAGTTTTAAACGTTGACAGTCTAAAGAAAGGATTCGCATTTCTAGTGACAAAGCCAATAGATCTAAGTGTTGTGCTAACTACTTTAGAAATATGATCATTCATTGAAAAATCGCTTGTAAACGTAATGCCAAGATCATCAATCGATTCTACCCTCGTGAGTTTAACATTATTAATTTTGTAAACAAATGATGTTGGATTCTTTTTTTCGTAAAAGTAATAGTTGAACATTTTTTGATATTAAGAGGAAGACCATTGTTAATTGACCATTTATAAAATTTATCCAAATCTGCTTGAATATTGTCAAAATCTTTAATATCAGTTATAGATTTATAAAGTTTAAGATCATCAGCAAATAGGCTAAACAAGCAGTTCTCAAAAACAGAAGAGACATCATTTATAAACAAAACAAACAATAGTGGGCCTAAATTGGAGCCCTGTGGAACACCTGATGTGGGAATAAATATTTCTGAGTATTCATGAAGAATACGAACGCACGAAGGTCTATCAGCTAGATAACTAGTTATCCATTTTAATATAATATTTGAAAACCCCAAAGTCCTTAGCTTTGCCACCAGAATATCATGATCAATCTTATCAAATGCTTTAGAGAAATCCGTGTATATTACATCAACTTGAAAACGATTTTCCAATGCATTTATCACATAATTAGTAAAAATACACAAATTAGTAATAACGGATCTTCCCCTCATAAAGCCATGCTGTTCAGGAATGATAAAATTAATAGAATATTTGTAAATGACATCACATACAAGACTCTCGAAGATTTTTGAAATCGCATTCAAAAGTGTTATAGGTCTATAATTGTGAATGTCATTCCTGCAATCACTCTTATAAATGGGTATAATAATACCTTTCTTCCACTCATGAGAAAAAACCCCACTGGATAAAGATTTATTAAATAATAAAAATAATGGATGCAGAAATGACATATTACAAATCTTTAAAAGAGAAGACGGGATGTCATCCTGACCTGGGCCCTTAGAAGTGTCCAATGTACTTAATTTAGCGAAAATATCCTCCTTTCCAATAACTATATTATCAAGATAAGAAGTATCACAATGATTAGAATTTATTGCGTAAGCATTAGAACCATGTTCAGAGTAAACAGAAGCAAAATAATTTGCAAAAAGATCAGCAACATCTTTGCTATTATCCGCCGTGTGATTATCAAGAAAAATTTCCTTAGGAATGCTAGACTCTTTTCTCAGACAATTAACATAATTCCAAAATTGTTTAGGTTTCTTATTAAATGAGTTTTCTAAGAAAGTAAGATATTTGTTATAATTCGACTTACTTAATTTCTTACAAAGCGAGCGTAAATATGAAAAATGTAAATAGTCTGCAGAACTACCAGTACGCTTATACTTAATATGCGCAATTTTCTTAAAATAAATGAGACGCTTAAGTTTAGCACAAAACCAAGGTGGATAACTAGGTCGACGAATAATTCTAACAGGAACAAAAAAGTCAAATGCTGTATAAACATGGACATAAAAAATATTCACGGCTACATCCACATCAACTTGATCAAGTACAGTATCCCAACTAACATTATCCAAATAAGTACATATTGCAGGTATATTTGCATTATTAAAGTCATATTTAAAATGACTTGTTGATTAATTTCTTAAAGATGATAACAATACATTAGTATGAATTTTTAATAATAATGGAGGATGATAATTATCAATTGTGAGGATTGTATCTTGTGCTAAACATAAGGTAAAGTTAAAAGAATTACAAAAAACCAAATCAAGCAATAAGCCGAGCATATTGAAGTATTGATTAACTTGACTTAAATTTAGAAAATCTATACTATCAGAGACAATGTTTGCAATTATTAAATGTACCTTCAAATTACCACAACTCACACACGATGGACCAGTGCCATGTACAGTATTCCACTTCACAAACGGCATATTAAAATCTCCAAGAATATAAATCACAGCAGAAGAAAATTGATTCTGAATGTTTTCAAGAGCTCTGCTCATGGCAATATAATCATCCACTATCAAGTAAGGTGTAAGATAAAAAGTACTAATTATATATAAAATAGATTTAAATGAAAACTTGATAAATAAATGTTCAATTGAAGGGTATTTATTAGGAAGAAGTGTTGCATGTAAATGTGTGCGTGTTGCAATAAGAACTCCACCTCCACGTAGACTGTCACTTGATAAACTGCATCTGTTGCATCGAAAAACATTATAATCGTATAAACCAAGTTCAGAAGAATTAAATTTATCATTAAGCCATGTTTCTGTAAAAACCAAAATGTCATATGATGGCAATACAGCAGAATGGCGAAGCGTATGTAATTTCGTTCGAAGGCCTCTGACGTTTTGATAGTAAACAGAAATGTCAAAAAAAGAATAATCAATAACAGCTGTAGAGGGAACTGAACTCTCTGCACCAACACATGTAAGATCGTTGATAGAAGATACATCACTGTTTTTGTCCGAACACTCACACTGAGATGTGTCAGATAACACAGAAACAGTGTGTGCATTCAAGTGTGATAAAGAAACGAAAGATGTGAAATCAAAATTATTTAATTTATAGCTATTGCAATTGTCAACTTTTTGAATTAAGGTTTTTGTTTTATAATCACTGGATTGCCGTTTCTGAACACCAACTTCAGGTCCACTTCCCCACCATGAAGACAAGCAGCGAGTTCGCTCCTTTTCTCCGTTATCTCTTCTAGCTGCATCTTTGTTTTGTCTGGAGTAAGCCATATGTTTTTGAGAAAGTGAGACTGAGACACATTTACTTTGGCAGCTACAAACAATTGATGGACTGCTCGTGCCTTCTCCTCCGTCGCATAGAGAATCTTTATAGGGCGAGGTTTCTGCTGCTGCATCTGTGTATAAATACCCAGTCTATGTACTTTAATGTCCTCTAGTTGATAATCAGGCACAAATTTAACAAACAAATCTGTTATTGATGCAAGAAGACTATTATTAGTTTCTATAGAATTGTTAGCTTTTGTAGAGCTCAAGTCAAACTCAGGGAAACCAAACAAAACAAGACTTTTTTTCCTTCGCTCACGCCTTTCGACTTCCACCAAACACTGACGTGCAAGATCATTGTAATTCTCAACTTTATCAATTTTATTCAGCTTACCTTCCACAGTAGCGATACGATCAGTAAGATTGTCCACTTTAATTTCATTATTTGAAATGCGATTAACTAAGTCGTCAAGTTTGGTATCAACATTGTCAAATCTTGTTTGGAACTACTTTTGCATATCAGCGAGTGCCTTGAGAACAGCAGAATCATCACCAGGGTTAGAAGATTTGCAACACTTAATATAAGAACCGTCACTATTTACACCAACCAGTGATGCACATTTAGTGTGATAAGGTTTGTTGCATCTAATGCAATTCTCCGGTTCGGCTACATTTTTCGCGCACTTAAAACACTTGACTGACTGAGACATTTTTGCAGTTCACTTTGAGGTTAAAAACACAAAAAGATAAATTGTAAAGTAAATCAATGTAGTACAGCAAAAAACCCAGTTCCACTGGAAAATATAATTTTCCTCAACACGAACAACACAAATTTACTATAAAATAATAAAAACTTTTACATAAAAAGATCAAATACTCGCAAATGAAAGTCAAAACGTGGTTTTCACATCGCCACCTAGCGGGTCAAATCCAATGATTTTAAAAAAAGAATGTCCGCCATATTGGATTCGCTATTTTGAATTTTAAAAATCTGATTCAATATTCGTAATTAGCGACCTCGAAAACCCCCGAGTAACGATTTTCAAGCAAATTCGATGATTTTTTTAAAAAAATTTCAAAACTTATGAACAAAAACTTAAAATGCGTTTTTCTCAAAATGTCTTTTTTTGATCTGGAAAGAGTGATATCTCGAGTTCTTCTAAAGCGATTTTAAAAAATCAAACGGCTTTTGATTCAGCGTTATCATGCCTATAAGTGGAACCTCAAAAACTGGAAAATTTCCAACTCTCTTTATTTTATAAGGGAAATTCTGAATAAAAACACCTTTTTTTGCATATTTTAGAGAAAAAGTACTCTAAAAAAAGGGGGGAAGAAAATTCCACTTTTTTGAGGTTCCACACCTAAAGAAATATCTAACGAAGAGAATGCCACTTCGTTTTTGGTTTTATCTGTTATAGAAAGTTTGGAATCTATCTTACCACCGAGAATGGGCAGTTTCGAAAATGGCGTATATCGCCGCCATTTTGAAATAAAAATGAAAAATTTTTTTTTTACAAATTCTTAAATAAATTATTTTTTACATGTAAAAGAAATTTTTTAAATAAATGTCATAGTTATTTTAATAATATATACTAAAAAGCCTTCTTTTTGCCTGTTTTGAACAGTCATTTATTTGTTCGACCGTATGAAAATAGCGATTTTTTTCCAAGGGCAAAAAAACAGTTGGTCCCATGCTTTTTTTGCCAAAGGTAAAAAAGGCCGCCATTTTCATACAAGTTGAACAAGTGAATGACTTTTACTCCCTGTCGTCTGCTATCTAAAATCGACACTTTTGTGCATTAGAAATAAAAAATATCGTATGTAATACGGGAATAAAGGCAGCCAATTTGTTCACGATGATTTTTGTGACACGAGTGGAGGTCTCGGGGCGCCCTCGACCTCGACTCGTGTCACAAAAATCACCGTAAACAAATGGCTGCCTTTATACCCTTGTTGCTTAATATAATATTTTTACAAGATTAATGATTAGGTACAATTTTATTGTGTCATTTGATTAAAAAGAATAGATATTAATCTTATTTAAAATTTTTTAACAGTCTTTATTGTGAAAAAATTGATGCAATATCCAAATTTTTATTTCGACAATTACACAATTACACCTCCATTTTTAAAATAAGGATTTTTTTGCAAATGACCGACAAAATGGGCCCTTTTCATTTTTTTAAAGAACCAATGAAAACTATCAGTTTAATTATCGATAAATTAAT